TGTATACGTAAATCTATATATCATAATGACTGAAACAGAAACGTCAATGCACTCCACGGATCAATCTCCAACTCTTTCATTAGAATTTTTAATCAAATTGATACCAGATACGTTTGATGGTGATAGATATAAGTTACGTAGCTTTATAAAACAGGTAGATTCAGCTTTTGATTTAGCTAAACCTTTTCAATTTCAACCGCTCCTGTTTTTTGTAAAAAGTAGAATTACAGGAAAGGCAAGAGAACAAGTAGATGTTCATTGTAATTTAACGACATGGCCAGAAATATCTGAATTATTAATAAGTATGTATCAGGATAAGAAAAGCCTCGACCAATTATTAGAAGAATTAAATAGTATGAGACAAGAACGCCATGAAAATGTTAGTCAATTTTATCAACGCTTAGAAGAGTTAAATTCGAGAATTTTAGGAATCCTGCATTCAGCTGACTCAATGATTGATACACTCGCAGGTAGATTAGCTATGATCAACGATATCACTTTAAATAGATTTGTTTACCACTCGCATCCACAAATATCGCAAATGTTGAGATATCGCGATTTGAAAACAATTAGTCAAGCTTTTACAGCCGCTGTGTGCGAAGAAAAAGCATTACGCTTAACGTACACGTCACAAGTTTGTAGAATTTGTAATAAAAACGGTCATTCCACTCAAGAATGTTATAGAAATAGGAAACCGCAATTCCCGTTCACCTCAAATCAAAGTCATTTTCAGAATACTAATTGTGTGCCTGCATATCAACATAATCCTGTCCAAAATCGTGTTCCAATCCAAAGAATGAATAATATTTCTAAATCAAATATGCAATGCAATTACTGCAAAAAATTTGGTCATTTAATAAGCGAATGTCGGAAACGTGAATATAATAACTCCCAACGATCTTTTCAAAATCGACCTTCAACCAGTGCTTTACCAACTGAAAGACGAAATGTACATTTTGAACATCAAAATTTTCGCGATCTTCAACAACAGGCCAATCCTCCGATCATAAACGAGCCGAATTCACAATTAACAACGAATACGATCAATCACATCAGCCAAGACTTCGAGAAATTCCTAATATAACAATTCTTAGTTCATTCAATTCCAACGAGCTTAACTATGTATTATTCGAGTCAAAACAAGCAAATTCTGAAGACAAAATCTTGAAACTCTTAATTGATTCCGGTGCTTCCATTTCGTTAATTAAAGCCTCCAGTCTAAATCATTATGATATTACTGATCCAAATCCAGTATCACTAAATGGTATTTCTCTTAATTCTCCAGTTGTAAGTTTAGGGCAAACGAATATTGAGTTAAAAAATCGTAATAACAAAATAGAAACGCTGTTTCATGTAATAGATTCCCATACAAATATTCCTTTTGATGGATTGTTAGGCAATGATTTCCTCCGTTTATCAGATTGCAAAATTGACTATAAGCAATCGACAATTTCTATAAAAAATTTTCCATATCCAATTCCATTAGGTTATAATGTACCGCAAACATCTACATCTGAAATAACTTTAAATCCAAGAAGTGAGACAATTATTTCTATTAGAGTTCAGAATCCGTATAATTTAAGTGAAGGGTTAATTTCATCTCATGAGTTAAGCGCAGACCGCAATTTACTTATTCCAAATGCAATTGTTAAAGTGACAGATAAAAACCAATCATTAATCACCATAGTTAATACATCGCAATTTAGTAAACGAATCCCTATCCCCGAATTATCTGTAGAACCAGTACCGCGAGAAGGAAGAATTTATCAGTTAGCTCCAGATCAAAGTAGCAATCAGTTAGACAACAGATTACGAGTCCTAAACGAACATTTACGTCTAAATCATCTAAACTCCGAAGAACAGTCATCGATAAAATCTATTTGTACCGAATTTAGTGATATCTTTCATTTACCAACTGACGCGTTAACGAAAACTACAGTATGTACACACGAGATTAGAACAATTGATGAACAACCCGTGCACGTTAAGAATTATAGATATCCCGAAATACATAAAAAGGAAGTTGACAAGCAAATAGAGACAATGTTAAGGCAGGGAATCATTAAACCGTCAACAAGTCCATGGTCGAGTCCTCTTTGGATAGTTCCGAAAAAACTTGACGCGTCTGGTGAACGTAAATGGCGAATAGTGATTGATTATAGAAAGCTGAATGAGAAAACAGTAGGTGACGCGTATCCTCTTCCGAATATTGAAGATATTTTGGATCAGTTAGGACATGCGATATATTTCACTACATTAGATCTCGCGAGCGGCTATCATCAAATCCCTATGAATCCTCGTGATGCACCGAAAACCGCGTTTAGTACTCCAAGTGGGCATTATGAATTCACACGTATGCCTTTCGGACTTAAAAATGCTCCTGCCCAGTTTCAGCGAATGATGAATAGTGTTCTGACCGGATTAAATAATCGTCAATGTTTAGTATACATAGATGATATGATCATATATGGTTCGAGTTTAGAAGATCATAATAGAAAATTAAAAAACGTCTTTTCTCGACTTCGTGAAAATAACTTAAAGTTGCAACCGAACAAATGTGAATTTTTAAAAAAGTCTTGCGAATTTTTAGGTCATGCAGTTTCAGAAAAAGGTGTAGAACCCAATAAAAAGAAAGTCGAAGCAATTAATGATATGTCGCGTCCGTCGAATATAAAACATATAAAAATGTTCTTGGGAATGGTTGGTTACTATCGTAAATTTATTCCAAACTTTTCTACTATCGCGAAACCGTTGACAGTGTTATTAAAAAAGGATCAAACCTTTGTATGGTCTCATGAACAAGAAGAAGCATTTAATTTATTAAAACAAAAATTAGTAGAAAAACCTTTACTTCAATATCCCGATTTTTCAAAAACTTTTACTTTGACTTGCGACGCATCTAATGTAGGAATTGGGGCAGTTCTTTCACAAATAAAAGATGGCAAGGATTTACCAATTGCATATTATTCAAGGACATTAAACAAAGCAGAGCAGAATTATTCAACAACCGAAAAGGAATTGTTGGCAATTGTAAATTCAACAGAACATTTTCGACCATATCTATTCGGACGTACAATTGTTGGCAATTGTAAATTCAACAGAACATTTTCGACCTTATCTATTCGGACGTACGTTTACGATATATACTGATCATAGACCATTACAATGGTTATTTAATTGTAAAAATCCAACATCAAAACTAGTTAGATGGCGATTACGTTTAAACGAATACCAATACGAAATTAAATACAAACCGGGTCGTGTTAATTCTAACGCAGACGGTCTCTCGCGACTTCCCTTAAGAGAAAAATTGGTAAATGTTAGTATTCCAAATCAAGTAACTTATCAAGATTTCATTAAATTTCATTATGAAAATCAGGAGCCAATAACGTACGAAAATGAAATTAAATCATTAGCTAACATTAAAGATCCTATAGTATTATTATGGTCGCAAGATTTAGATGAAAGCAATCAGTATTCAGAATATATCCTTTCAAATTTTGATGTATCTGGAATAACACCTAGTATTAATGGATTATATAAACTTGAAAATAAAACTCAAATATTATACTTACTTTTTGCAATGAATTTACATTTTGATAAACTTGAGTATAAGAACATATTTTCGTCTTTACTGAATTTAAAAGCAACTATACAAGATACTAAATTCATTTTTGTACTTCCGGAAAAGCATCCTAATATTAAAACATCTCTTTTATATGAAATGTTGAGGTTTATTTTTCCAAAGACCGAAATTAAAATTATTAATAAATCTAAAATTATTCCTAAAACCCGACAAGAAATAGAGAAAATATTAGAAGAGAATCATGATGGTAAATTATCAGGACATAGTGGATTTCAAAGAACATACTCCAGAATTAAAGAAACGTATTATTGGCCAGGTATGAAAGCTGACGTAAGGAAATACATTAAACAATGTCATTCGTGTCAGTTGAAAAAAACTAATTTTAAGCCAACGAAACAACCAATGGAAATCACTACAACCTCAGAAAAACCATTTGATAGATTAGCCATTGATATAGTAGGACCGTTACCTTTAACGGAACAAGGGAATAGATTTATTTTAACAGCCCAGGATGATTTGACAAAATTTTGTATTGCAGAACCTCTTCCTAACCACGAGGCCGAAACGATTGCAAAAGTTTTAACTAAAATATTTATGCACTATGGTATACCTAAATCATTTCTATCAGATCAGGGGCCTGATTTTATGGCAAATTTAATAAAAAATTTAAGTAGTCTTTTTAAAACTAAACATATATCCACCACACCTTACCATCCTCAAACAAATGGCGCACTTGAAAGGTATCATTTGACATTAAAAGATTATTTAAAGCATTACATTAAGCCTAATCAAACAGATTGGGACGAATACATTCAATTTGCAATATTTAGTTATAACACGTCAATTCATAAATCAACTAATTATACCCCTTATGAACTTTTATTTGGTAACAAGCCTTATTTACCCTCATCTATCATTCAAGAACCACAATTTCACTACACATACGATGATTATATACGTTCATTACAACATAAATTGAATACTTCATTTAAAATAGCTCGTGATAAGATTTTAGATTCCAAAACGAAAAGCAAAGAATACTATGATAAGAAAAGCAATCCTGTTGTATTCAAACAAAACGATCTTGTATGTATTTACCAACAACAAACAAAACCGGGTCAGAATAAAAAGCTAGCACCTAATTTTAAGGGTCCATATAGAATAACAAAAATTTTTCCTAATAAAACTGTAGAAATTCAAATCGGTAAAAAGAGACAAACATATCATTCTAATCTTTTAAAACACTATTTCTCAGATGAATCCGACACTCTGGATACTCCTCATACTTCCAATCCTAACATCTTGTCATTATTTCTCTAACACTCCATTTACGCATTCAAGTGGAATATTTTATAATAAATTAGGTATTGCACAAATTTCGAATACTAAATTAACATTATTAACGCATATAAATATGACCTACCTCAAGGAAGCTAGACTAATATTACAAAAAACATATTTAAAGTCTCAAAATCTTTGCACTATTACATTAAAGGATGTGGAAGAATTTAATCATGTTAACTATCATTGCGAACAAACTCTAAGCGTTGTAAAAAATGAACTAAACAATATATCTATATTGTTTAGTTCCAAACATGAAATATTGTACCAACTGGTTGGTCAAGAAAGTAGTAAACGTAAACGTCGCGGTTTAATTAATGGTGTATCTTATGCCCTAAATTGGCTTTTTGGTACTCCTGATGCGGATGATGCACAATACTATACAGATAGCATTAATATGTTATTAAACAATAACAAACAAACACAAACTCTATTGAAATCTCAAATTCAGGTTATTTCTGGTACAATACAGAATTTTAATCAATCTTTAGCCTCACTAAAAACTAATGAAGATACTATGAATAATAACATAAATCGTATCAACAAATTCATGACCCAAACAAAATTATATATATCAAAATTAGAAACACAGTCATTAATAGGACAACAAATTGCAATGTTATTATCTTTAACTAATTCGATTTCACAGGAATATAATAAATACATAGAAGCAATAAATCTCGGAAGACATAATATTTTATCACCATTAATCGTGACACCTGAAATTCTGTTGAAAGAGTTAACCAGTTATAAAGGGGAATTTGAATTAGTAGTATCCCCCAATCTCAAAACTTTACCAATATTTTATAATATTTTAGATTTGCAATTAATTCCGTCAAACGACCTTATTATATTTGCTTTAAAGTATCCACTAGTATCAAGAACGTTATTCGATCTTTATCATTTAATTCCACTTCCCGTTCAATTCCAAAATTCTTCCGTTTTCTCTTATATCTCTCCAAAACAACCCTATCTAATTATATCCCAACCCAAAACTCATTTTTCCCTCCTGCAAGATTTAAAAAGTTGCATTATGTATCTGGATGGGAAATACGTTTGCATGGACGTTCATACAAGGACATCAGCTGAGCAACCTACCTGTGAAGCCCAGCTGTTATCACCTCATATAAGTAAAATTCCGGAAGACTGTGACACGAAGACCATCAGGGCCAACATTGAGACATGGACATATATCCAAAACAACCATTGGATTTATATTTTGCAAAAACCAACAACCGTGACAATTCTTTGCCAGGAAGGTAAGGACTACATGGAGGATATAGTCCTACACCAGACAGGTATACTGTCTCTAGACAGTCAATGCAAGGGTTACAGCAACATTTATCTCCTGGAACCAACAAAGCAGACAAAGAAGAACGTCACGCATTTTGCACCACCGATTAGTATAGTGGACAGTGATTGTTGTGTTGTAGAAATGGACAAAATTAAAATTGATTCAACACGTTTGGAACCTATAAAATTAACAAACATAGACTTATCCGATTTTAAATACGCTAACAAGAAACTAAACGAGTTCGATCAAATTTTAACCAAAAATCTGAACGAGCCATTTATTGTTACGCACACTCGGTGGTATACAATCACGGTGGGAGTAATTGCCGCCGTACTTATAATAATAATTTTTATTAATTGTTGTCGTTGGTGTGGTTGTTTAAAATTGTTGAAAAGATTTTTCTGTGTCACGAAAAATCCAAACGATGGGGGAACTGTACCCCCCATGATAAAAAATTTTATTAATTGCAATTTTGATTCGGACATACATAGCGAATATCGGGAATCATCAAGGGATGTTGTTACGTATAGTAATAGAAGACGGACTGCTGGTACGAGCTCAACGGATGATCAAGAAAGCGAGGAAAATCAAACACCACCACCCATACGCAGTCCTGCAGGCGGAAATTATTATAGAGGGAAATTACGCAAAAGCACTACACCAATGTGATTATAATTAAACATAAGCAAGTCCAAGCTAATCTATATTCCAAATCCCTAGATAGTTATTAGAAGACCCGCATATTAATCAAATTAGTTTAAGAATCATTTGTATTGTTTCGTCGTAATTATATTATTATTTATTTATAAACATGTTTACATTTGTACACACACTATTATCAGTAGTATATAAGTATTAAAGACTAATATAATATGTAATTAACGATAGCAACGACCTCAAACAAGCTATTCAATGCTAAATTGAATTCTAACAAATTCAAATTTTTTTTATGGGGGAAGTTGTTGGATGACCTATCTTAAACAAATAATAAGTCATAGCCAAACCATGACTCTCTCGATGCACAACAACAAAAACAGCGTACATCCACTATTAGTCATAAGGGCTAAGGTTGTCCTCCCCCACTAGAGAGAGGATATATATATATTGTCACTGACCACGGGTTTGTGAGAAAGAGTCCAGAAATTGTAGAAAGAGTTTAGACAGAGAATCAGTTTTGCTGTAAGTTAGCAAGGAGGTCGTTGTTTCTATTCTTCACACGATTTTCTGTTAAAGTTGAGTTTGGCGTAATCATAGAGGTTTTAAATCCAATAAACTTTTGCTTATTGTAAACTGGTTTTATTCCTCAACCCGGATTCCAACATAAGAAAGTGAAGATGATGTTCACGTGAACTTTAAACGACCATTCAAAGTGAAATTGTTACCACCATTTTATGTCTTCCTTGGTATCCTACAGCTTACGTCTGAAACATTTTTCCATATTTAAAGCTGCTTCCAAAATATATAAGCTCCGACTTTAGAGATATTCTACATATGTACTTGAACATATTCTCATTCATCATTTTAAAAAGAATACCAATAGAAACATACCAATATTTATAAAACGTAGAAATCGAACTAGAGATTCAATTTTTGTAACAAATACGGACAGAAAAAATTTTATTCGTTCGATCAGCTTGCTAACACGATGTACGCAATCCAATCACTTTCACCGGCGCAATGAAACAGAGACCATAAAATTCGGTAGTTTAACCGAATGGCGCTTACAAGGTATTCAAATTGTTTTTGTTCCCGCTATACGGAAGCCCACCCTTGCAATAGTACAAATGTTGTGGAACAGATCGTCAGATGTTCAACGATCCGGATCGAAGCGCTGTTACAGCGAAATATCCGTGATACATTGGAATTTAAAATAGAACGGTGAATTGCAGCGGCGAAACCCGAACTTTCCACGAAACAGTTGAAACATAAATATTATCGAAGGCAAGTTCTTTTTCGTACTTTGTCGTAACAATAAGTACAATGTTCCAAAATGATCTTCATGTTTATTGGTGAAACATTCTCCACTGTTCATTCGATAACCTTTTAGGACAATTTCCGGGATCGTTATCGAGATTGAAATGGCTCGATGGTATCATTTGTTATCTTGAACAGCTTCGATTTATGTGTCGCAAGAATCGTATAGTTTGTCGTGATCGTTGAAGTTTGCAATAACACTAATGAGATATGTTTCAATTGTCCAGTTTTTAGTTCGCTGTAATGAAATACTCTTTGTGGCACTCTAAGCAATGAAAATACTTTACAGAAATACTGTACTTACTACATTTCTTTGTACTTATTCAGTACTTACTTTATTGTGAAATAAAGTATATTGCACAAATCTTTTTTTGTGCTTTTGTTTGACAGGAAATCAATTTTATAGCTCATTATGAATGAACATAATATTTTGTGCTTGTTTTCTACCTCATGTCTAACATTCTAAACGTTAGGTGTTGAAATAAATATTATCAACATCGTCTAATTTATAAAAAATGTGCTCGAAGTATTTTCAATGTGAATGAATGCATTTATCTCCATTTTTTTCGGTCAAGCAATGTTTGTCAAAAAAAAAGAATTACGTTTTTAAATATGTTATAAAATTTAATATTTTTGACAATTATTTTTCACAATAGAAGATATTGCATGATAATACAATTGTATATAATCGGATAGTTATTGAAAACGCTAACAACACATTTTTCTATCATATAAAGTTAAAAAACTAAACAGTTTGTTGATGATGTATTTACAGCAAAAAGAAGTATTTTTATATAAAAGTATAAAACATTGTATATTCATACTTTGTGCTACTTTTGATAAGCATAAAGATGAGTACCTAATATCGCCAAAGTACTAGATCAGGTTCGTTTAAAATTAATACCCTTGAGCTGCTCGCAGCAGTATCATGTAACGTACTTGAAGCGATATTTTAGATCCGTTGAATGTTGAAGGAGGAAGAAAGAAAATGTGAAATGGGTTAAACAGAGTCAACGTCCTTTCCCTGTGAAGTAAGATTATGTCGTTAATTTTATGATCGTTTCGAGCTCGGAGACGAACTCGATGTAACTTTAAGCGTTTCACGCCTTCGGAGCATGGTTTGGACCAATCTGGTAATAGGTTTTAAGTTATTTAACAATATTTTTAAAATTATTAATCAATCATCATAAATACATATCTTCGTTTAATTAGAATCGACGAGTATCTATTTCATACGTCTATTTACAACCAACAATGCACGTTAGCCACTTTTCACTTATTTAGTTTTGTAACACGCTAGTTACTACTACTGCCATATACTACTGTCATCAAAAAGTAAGCTGAATTTGTTTATAGAACGAAAAATTTTTATTTATTACTCTAAATCAATCTTATTACTTTCAAAGTATTTCGCATCCGGCACAGTACATTTATTCCAACGTTTTTTCTAATCCTTGAAACAGTCAAACAAGTCCTTTTCCAGGACGGCCGTCAATACTTTCTTTGACTTGGCTTTTATCTCATCAGTCGATTCGAAACGGTGTCCCAGACATAGTCTTTCGAGTTTGTTAAACAGCCAGAAGTCGCACGGTGCTAAATCAGACAAATGCGGTAGTTGTCGAACGATATGGGTTGATTTTTTGGTGAAATTTTCTCGAAGAACCAATGCAGTGTGGGACGGCATAGTATCATCCTACGTGAAACTGGCGAGTTTGAGGCACAAAACATCTTTTAAAATGGTTTCGGTTGATCCAAATGAGATATCCACGGCATTGTTGGATGATATCTCCTAAATGAACAATAAGTCATAGCCAAACTATAACACTTCCGACTCACCATAACGAAAACGGCTTACTCACTTCTGCCGTTAATCATAAGGGTTGAGGTCGTCCTCCCCCACTAAAATATATATATATATTAACTGACGTGGGTCATTTTTTGAAGAGAGAAAATTTTGCTGCAAGTCAACGAGGTTGTTGTATTCAATTGTCACGATAATCTGTTAGGTTGAGTTCAATTTAACCGAAGAGGTTTCAATCAAATAAACATTTATATTTTAAAAGTAGTTTTATCCTCTACCCAGATTCCAACAGCATCAACAAGGTTTCTAATTGTCAATCAACGATTTCCAAGCATCAAATCTTTCATTTTCTTCACAGTACATATTGGTGGTTCGTCCGGAGCGCTATTTACCTTAAACTTGGACTTGGTCTATTTTTAAATCTTTGTACCACTTGTAAACATTTTTTTGCAACATAACCTTGTCACCAAAGGCCTTCTGCAACATCTACAATGTTTCTGCGGCAAAATTCATTCCGCAAACAAAATTTAATGTAAATACTTTGTTCAACAAAATCAGACAGTAAAAATCGAAAAACTCACTTTTGTATGTTTACAAAAACACATGTAACTCTGTAGCAATTGAATATATTGACATAAAACTATACATAGATGTCAAAGACAGTAGTACTAATACGCACAAAAAATAATTTTATAATTTTATAGTACTTGCGAAATTTAAATGAAAAATTCACCTTATTCTTTTATCAGAGTAGTATACAGTATTTACAAAGTACTTATAACGCATGAGATATGTAGTGAAATTTGATTCAGCGGAGGCAAGGCGATTTCGGAAAGAAACGCAAAATTTTGGGTTCAAGAAGATCGACTCGACTGAAGAATCCTAGTTTCAAGTTTAGTCTCGAGTGCCGACTGGTAGTTCGAAGTCAGAAGGTAATTGGAGGGAAGGAAGAGCTGTTTCCGACTCTGGTAGATTCTGAGAGTGGACGAGTTCTAAGTAGGCAGTGGTTGAACCAACTTTTTTGGGACTTCAATGTTCTTTTATACTGTTTTTGGCTTCTAAAACCGTCCAATCAGCGAACCGAAGTACGTACGATTAAAGTTTATGGCACCTACTACGTGCATGCGCCAAGGCTCGTGGTGAGCTGGCGGGTTTCATGCACCGAACTTTCTACAAACATTAATTCTTCAATTTAATATTGTTAAAATTTCGTTATAGTTACTTGAATATAAATTTGTACAATATTTGCCTTCAACATTATAATTATCATCATTATCCACATCACAACTGTCGGATAGTTTCAAACTTTTATCAACAGATCTATCAATAAAAGCATAATTTTCTATTGCCTATAAAGAAATTAGGTAATGAATGAAAATTTTAGATTCGTATTAATTAATTGAGCTTGCTAAATTGCAGATACTTTCAGTGCTGCCTCTTTCCGTTGTAGTAACGGTATTTGTTTGTCAATTTACCGTTTATTAAGCCTGTGCGTGCGCGTACACTATCTGCTATTTACTGAACGTATCCTAAATTAATGTAGATTTGTTCTAATTGCTTTTGGTGTGTGGTCACGAACTGTTTACAAAATGTGTGTAACCTGTGGTCTGCGTTGCTTAAACCGTATCTAGTGGAAGCGGTGAGCGTTTGTTGTAGTTTAATTTGCCGGGCGGTTAACGACGTTGTGTTTAGATGGGTTGCTATTTTCCAGGTATTACTGTAGGCTTGTATTTTTCCGAATTCGTCAAAGTATGTCAAACCTGCAGCCGGAGATCTACGTTTGGTTGTGTGTTTCTTAAGTTACGAGACGTTTCTTTTAGTCAATATAGTATTTCAAGCGATTTATGTACCTTATCATCCGTCTACTTTTTTAATTGTGTAGCTTTCATTCGAGTATGTATGCGTTATAGTGTATGATGCGATCCAAGTTATCGTTAATTTTGTAAATCATCTTCGTTTCATGCTCAGCTTTCCGAAGGTTCGAAAAGTATTAAGACCTAGGGCTTGTTTCCCTTCTATCATGAGGATGAGGCTTGTTACAGTATTTCAAACTGGTTCATTCGAATTATTATCCTAAGTTTTTCTCTCTCAGATATACGCCGAATCTGTTTAGAATTTACTTCTCAACGTACTGTGCAGAAGTTCGGTTAATGGCACTGTTGTTGGTCGATCTGGTAGTAAGTTAGTTCTATATCAGTTTTTCTGATCTGGTTATGAGTACAAATATCCGAGTACAAATACCAAATTAAAGAGAATACCAATAGACACAGAAAAATCAGATATTTATTTTTTACACAAAAAAAAACGTGAAAGGTCGTCGCGAGATTGATCTGCTCGACGCAACGGACAATGCAAGACTCGCTGATCGTCGGACGACGCCGTGCGGTGACGTCGTTGCCCGATTTTCATTTTTTTAACGGTCGATGGAATATTCCATCGACGGAAAATACAA